TGAGCTGGTGGCATCTCCCAGCCAAATCCTGCCAGCCCAGTTGGGCAACGCAGGCTCCCAGTTTGCTCTGCTCTCACATTCCTGGGAGGATTTCAAGCTCGAGCTCCCGGAATGGAAACAGCTTATGCTGAGGGTTTTTGATATGAGAGATGAAATAATAATTTTGAGGAGTCAAAATTGTGAAATTTAGGCAGGGACAGCCATGGATCCAGCCCTACAAATGTTCCTCCTGATCAGCATCCCCACACTTCCCCTGTGCTCCTGTCGCATTGAGGGGCGAGGAGGATGAAGGAGGATGAGCCACCCGTGTTCCTCATCATCCAAATGATTCCACTCATAGTTTCCTCCCCATTATTCCTATTCCTACCCCTATTAATTAGAAAATACTTGAGAAAATCCCTCAGAATTCCCAATCCCCTGGGAAATCCAGCTGCTTTCCAAGCCCAGCAGCAGCTCCCACTGGGATGCACCAGCCCTTCTTCACCCAGCAATGCTTTCCCCACGCACAAACAACCATTCCCACTCACTTTTATTAATGGGATCGGCCATGGGGATCCCGATGCGGATGCAGTTGACGGCCTCGGGGCTGTCGGGCTGGGGCAGATCCTCGCAGTTGGGCAGCTTCAGCCTCATGAGGATCATGGGGTTGGACCTGGCGAAGATGTACTCGGTCTGGCACAGGACGTTCTCCAGGATCTCGCACTCGTCGCGGCACAGATCGCGCGGTTTGGGGGCGGCCGAGGTCTCGTCGCAGTAGGGGAAGGCGTAGTGGCACAGCGAAGGGATGGCGAACTGCGAGCACTTGTCCGACAAATGGCTGGACGTGCCGATCATGGTGAAGGCAGCTGGAAAAGCACAGCGGGGATTTGATTTGGGGATGTTATTCCTGGGAAAATCCTGCTCCCCACTGCAGCTGGGCAGGTGATGAGCAGGAATGCGCAGCGCTAATTACGCTGGAAGTTATTAACGATGCTGATTTCGCTGACGGGGAAAACACATCTGCTTTCTGACACGGGATTAATGCTGAACTCTTACCCAGCCCCCAAACTCAACTATTCCTTCTTTTCCTCCCAAATAACTTCAAATACTTCACAAATTCATGTCATATTTGGAAGCCTCTTGCCCAACAGGTAAACCCCAAATTCCTGCACTTGTTCCTTTGTGGAAAATGATGACTTTCACACAATCCCAAAAAACTTTTTCAAACCAAATGCTGTAACATTATGAACCAATGGCTGCACGTTGCATTTCTTGGGGGCAATGAAGAATGCAAATCTTTATACAGTGTTCAGAGACAAAGGAACAAGAGACATTTGGGATATTCTGACAGCAAGAAAAATAAAATCCGAATATAGAGGTGATTACTGTGGCTAGGATGAGGCAAGGGGGGGATAACGAGTGAATAAAAGCAGTTTATGAAAGTTCTTTATTGCTGTTTCTAAAACCCCAGCAGCTTTTTGGGCGAAGCCAGCTGGGTGGGGAAGAAGAGGAGGTGTTTTTGACCCACCTGTGATCTGATTTTCTATCTCACCCTGCATGTGCAGGGACTCCATGTAGATGGTCCTGTTCCCAATGAAGCGGGCGCAGGCGATGCCCCTGTAAGGCTGGCAAAACCCATCCTCCTCGTACTCATCCCTGAAATCAGCCAGAAACACAAAGAGGTGACTGTAAAATACGGACAACAATCAGGATTATTTCTTTCTATTCAGCAAAACCTGGAATATTTGTTTTTTTAAAAAAAAACCTTCATCTGCCTGGTAAAAAGTGGCATTTCAGCTTAGCCAAAATACACATTAATGTGGTATGAAATGAGTGCTTTTAAGGCTCTGCTCAGAAATACACCCAGCCTTGATTAGAAGAGAAATATAAACTGCCTGGAAAAACAGGAYTTATGTTTATTTAAAGCAGCTAACACATAGTTTTCTATTTTTGACCCAAACTCGTACTTAATATTGATAAACACAGCAGGAAGAGTCATGCAAGCAGAATTTGGAGTGTATATAGAAAACCCRAGCTCTGCCAGCACTGATAGCCTGGAAATGGGAAATGTTTGCTTGATCTGCMGTGTGTGGTAACATTTAGGGCTCAAACAGGACCAAAGATGGGACACGAGTTCAGCAGACACATTTCTTTCATTAGGTGCTTTGTTTTAGGCAGCGGAGGAGACATCGAATGCAGAAATCCAGATGGGAAATGATTTGCCAGGGTTCTTCAAACAAAGCAAAGAGAGGAAATCGTGGAAGCTCTGAAGAGCAGGGCAGACGTTGGGAGTGCTCTGAACAGGGAGGTTTAGGAGGTTTTGAGGAGGGGTTTTAATACCAGATCCCTGAAATCCCAACTGCATRAATCAGCTTTTAAATTTCTTCCTCTGAGGATCCAGTTGGAAATATTTTGCACGGATATTTTGGGATGGATTTTCTGAACAGACGCTCGGCTCTGCTGAGATCCCAGTGAACGGAGATGCTTCACGACAATTTGCTGATATTTTCTTTGTTATTCCCGCTCCAGACAGCTCCTCCATGGCTCTCGGATTCGGATAAACGATATTGGAATATTGTAGGGATGCTGACAGCCGGGTAGGGAGCAGGTCCCTCCCTTTGTGTGCAGGATCCTCCCTCCCCCAGACACCGAAAGCCCGACAGCGGAACCACACCACGCCTTAATAAGGGAAAAATCAGACCTTTTTTTTAATCAACTCTGCCATTAAGTTTAACAAAAGCCACTTTCAGACCTTGGCTGTGAGGGTTTGGAAATGCAAATCGCACGGGGTGTCTTTGAAGTGGCCGGGTCATTGTGCGCCACCTCCCCGGTCCCGGTGCCCTGTCACCCGGCCAGCTCCAGCTAATGGGATTAGCGGGGAGAAGCGCTGGGATCGCCTTCCAGGACACCCCAAACATCTCCCGGAGCTCCCAGAGCCGCGTCCCGGCAGTCACGCCGAGTTCACAGCGAGAAACCAAAAACGCGGGGATTAACCGCGGTAATTTATGAGTGTGAAAATAAGGGGGTGGGAAAGACGGAGGGAGAGATGGAGACTCGTCCACGGACACCTCACCAGCTATCAAGTTTGGGGTTTAAACACTCCCATCAGTTTGGGGTTTAAATACTCCCATCAGTTTTTTGGTTTAAATACTCCCATCAGTTTGGAGTTTAAATACTCCCATCAGTTTTTTGGTTTAAATACTCCCATCAGTTTGGGGTTTAAATACTCCCATCAGTTTTGGGGATTTAAACTCACCTATTAGTTTTTGGGGTTTAAACTCACCCATGAGCTTTTGGGTTTAAACACACATATCAGTTTTTGGGGTTCAAACACACCTATCAGTTTTGGGGATTTAAACTCACCTATCAGCTTTTGGATTTAAGCACACCTATCAGTTTTTGATTTAAACTCAGCTATTATCAGTGTTTGGCTTCAAACACAGATATCAGTTTTTGGCTTTAAATTCAGCTATTATCAGTTTTGGCTTTAAACACAGCTATTATCAGTTTTGGGTTTAAACATGGTTATTATCAGTTTTGGGTTTAAACACGGCTATTATCAATTTTGGGTTTAAACACGGCCATTATCAGTTTTGGGTTTAAATACGGCTATTATCAGTTTTGGGTTTAAACACGGTTATTATCAGTTTTGGGTTTAAACACGGTTAATATCAGTTTTTGGTTTTAAACACAGCTCTCCGTTTCTTGGGATCAACCCTGAGCCCCGCATTCCTTTTCCCCAGCCCACGTTTCGCATCCCTCGCTGCTCCGTGTTAGGAATCGTCTCATCCCTGCTCGGATATGGATCCGCTTCTCCATCCTGATCCCGCAAACAGAACGATCCCTTTGGCTCCAGGGGATGGAAATCCGGCCTGATCCAGCCGTTAATGTGTTAACATTTACAGACGAGTTAAATCCCAATGATTAAGTCCCAATGAAAAGGAAGTCAGCGCAAGGCCGGAGGCGTTTCTGGTTGCGGATGGACTCAATCGCTGGCGCAAATTCGGGCTGAAGTGGRGAGGAGAGCGGCCAGCAGGTGGCAAACAGGAATTCCAGGCTGCAGGAACGATTCCAGCCCAACCGCAGAGGGTTTGGGGTGTGGGAGCTGCTTCCTCCGCTGCCCGCACCCCACAAAACCCMGCTGGGTGTGGGGTGAGGCTGCACCAGCCAGAGAGCGCTGCATTTTAGTGACCAGCACTAAAGATTATTTAATTTTTTTCCAGATTTGGTTTCCCCTCTGATTTCTGTGTCACTCCATCAATATTTCCAGGCTGGATGTTCCTCCTGGAGTTTGTCACTGCTCCAGGATCCTGCTGTTCCCCTGGACAGCACCTCTGGCTCGGTGCAATTCAATGGAGGATTGAATTTATCCATCCTTGGGTGTCTCTGACAGCTCTGAGTTTACAGAAGAGCTTTGAAGGTGTCCACAGCTCAAATCTCCTCAAGCCCATTCCGTTCTGATTCCATCTCTCGATCTCAGCTGCTCCTCCGGTGAATCCTGAGGCTGATCCCACTCCCAGGGCAGCACCTTTCCCAAACTGAGGAATCCCTGAGTGCCTCTGCAGCTCTTTGAGCATCCCCAAACCGGGCAGGACAGAAAAACATCAACGATCAATTTTCAATATTTATTCTGTCTGTTCACACCAAGGCTGGAGGGRCTTCACAGAACCATCTCCTCCAAACACCTCTCTGAACACAAATCATCTCTGGCCAGCTCCACCTCCCAAAATCCTGACTTTGCTTTGCCAGGTTTGCTCTAAATCACAAGAAATTGCCCAAATTTAAACAACATTTCCAGCAAATGCCAACAACACCTCCAGGAACTCAGTTCAGYGAAAGCTTTTTAACCAGGCTTTAACGTGAGCTCATTTAGAAGCATTTAATTTATTAATAGAAAATCAGAACCTTGTGAGATTGCATTTATTTTTACAATCCAATGTTTTAAAATGCATATTCCAAAGGTGGTATAATTATGTGGTCATTTGATCCACACTCGATGGATTTCTTTCTTTCTTTTCCTTCTCTCTTTATCTCTTTCCCTTACTGCTTTAAGGAGGATTTGAARGAGTATTTAGGAGGATTTACAAAGAATCGTAAAGAAATTCTAAAGAAAAAAGTGATTTTTTAAAACAGCATTAACACACCACATGGGAAATTATTTTTGAGCTATTTTTCCATCTTAAGCACTTTTTTTCTTCCTCTCCTATGGAAGAAAATCCAAATTTCCCATTCTCCAGCAATTTCAGACCTGGTTTATTCCCTGCTAAAACCAATGCAGATTTTCTTTGCCTAGGAGGGTTTTTTTTTCCAGAAAGCAGCATCCCAACCCTTCCTGGGTGTTGGATATTAAAACACAGCTTTGAATTCTTTCAAACTGACAGAAAAACCTGAAATACTCAACACCACAAAATTTTCAGGTCCCATTTTCTCTCTCCCTAACTCTCTCCTGCTTCCCCTTCTTTTCTGGAGTCACAGCTTCATTTCTGCTCCTCCCTCCCCTCTCCTTCCCCMGAACATTTAATTTGTCTTCTGTGCCTCAAACAGTTCTTTCTTCTGGTGACCTCATATTTTTAACCTTGAGCGTGATGAGAAACAGACTCCACCRACCTGACACTCGAATTAAAAGCCAAACACACGCCTCAGCACGAGTTAATTAAAAATAATACCCATAATTTTAGCTGGCTCGAGCTATTATTCGACCAGAAATTTGCACCCATCGATAAATGAAATCCACAATTGGTGCAAAGTATAACAAAAAGCTCGAATTTTCAGAAATCAGCTGTTTACTCTTCTTTTTCTTTCCCAGATAAAAATATTTCTCGACAGGAGAGTGCAGATAGGGGGGGTTGGGAACAGGGATCTCAGGGAATAGGGACAGGAGGAGAGGGAACRGCCCCAGRTTGGGCCAGGGGASGTTTAGGGTTGATTTTGYGWGGGTTTTAYAGCACCCACAGAAACATTACAGCCCTTGAAATAGGATTTCCCTCCCAATTAAAKGTTTTATGGCACAGGGGAGCCTCGTGTGCCCCAAAGATGAGCTCAGATGTTGTAAATGGGCTCTGAAATGTCTGAGAGGTTCTTTATTCCAGCCCAGGGCAGCTTCAGAGCAGCATTTGGGGTTTGAGGTCAAACAAGACCATACAAGACTTGGACCCAGACCTGCTTCACAGGAGAGAAGTTCCATTCTCTCTCTCAGAAAATCCTAATAAAATCCCCATTTCTTTTATCAATTTTCTGGCTCAGTTACACCAAACTCATGACAGCCAGAAATCATTTCATACCCCAAACACCCCAGCTACGGAACAGATAAAATACATATATGGAATACAGAAAGTTGTAGGATATTTTTTCCCTTTTTTCCCCTCCACTAAAGCTTTTTCTGCCCTTCCCAGGGGTGAAACATTGGGAACCAGAATGGTGGAGACAGAGAAACCTGAGCAGCTCTGAAAGCCTGGAATGACCGTGATCCCCCCAAAGCAGGAGAGAAATCAGGACCTTGGCCTCCAATCCTTTAATTTTTTGTTGTGTTTTATTTTTTAAACTGCTTAAGGTTCACCAGCAAAGCCCCAAAACAGAGCAGGAAGTTCCCAAAGGTTGGGGCTCAGGTGAATTTTAGGCTGAGGTGAATTATATGCTGAGATGAATTTTAGGCTGAGATGAATTTTAGGCTGAGGTGAATTATATGCTGAGATGAATTTTAGGCTGAGATGAATTTTAGGCTGAGGTGAATTTTAGGCTGACGTGAATTTTAGGCTGACGTGAATTTTATGCTGAGATGAATTTTAGGTTGAGGTGAATTTTATGCTGAGATGAATTTTAGGTTGAGGTGAATTTTATGCTGTGAAACACAATCCCTGTTCCCAAACAACAACTCCATTTCTAATTTATTTGTTCTATTTTAGCAGCTCTTCAGTGAAAGGACACGGAAGAAGGAACCGGGCTGGATTTATACACAAATAAAACCACAGATCAATAATTTTCATGTCCTGTGTTGTCTCAAGAACAACAAAATCAGGTCTAATCCCACATAAATCAGAGACTCTCTAAAGCATGAGTTTTTATTTGAGGACAAGACACAGATTGAGGCCAAGTCCTCCCAAACCCAGCAGCACAAAGCCAGGCTCTGTTCAGCCAGGACTGAAACCCGAGCCAGGCCGGGGTGCCTGAAACCCATTGTTCCTGGAATATTGTCAGATCTTTCCTCACAGCCTCCAGGCTCAGAGAAATCCCACTAAACCACTTAAAATGTCCTCTGATTCGAGCTAGATGAGATTTTTTTCTGATTAAAACTGCTTAAAAGAGCAAACATTGCCTCCTGAACTCCAGAATTCTTCACAGAATCCCGGTGGTTTGGCCCAAAATGTTGCTGTGAGATTTGAGCAGCTCCACCAGGGATTTTGGGGTTGGCTTCAAAGGAGCTGTTACCTGGAATGACCACATGAAATATGGGAAAAGCAGATTATGGCTGTGCTCTGAAGCGGGGCCAGCTGAGGGGCTGCAATTTTGATTTTCTGGGACAAAATCCTGATGGGCTCTGCTCCGTTCCAGCAGGGAATAACAGGGAATTTGGGGAGGTTTAATCCCTGCACACTGAGGGAGCACTCTTTTCCACTGGAACATTCCCATTCCAGCTCCCAGCAGATCCCTGACCCCACAAATTTCAGAAACCCCAAATTTGATGGGAGCAGCACAACATCCTCATTTTCTCACCTCATCCATGAATCTCCAAACTGCTGCCGAGCCCAGCAGCCCCCAAATCCCACAGCAGTGGGAATCCTCCCTCCCCAGGGCACCAGAATCACCAGGCAGAGCTGAAAAATCCCAGCACAGAGCTCCCCTTCCAGAACAAACCCAGGATTCCACATCAGGCACGGGAAGATAAATCCACATTTTGTGCTGTTCCATTAGAGGGCATCCTACAACATCCTTTTGTGGTCAGAGGCTTCTCCTCGTTTATATCCTCAGCAAAATTCATGATCTTCCACGAGGAGCCAGGAACTTCCACACTCCCAGCTTTTTGCATCCTTTGTGATTGAATTAATTGCATGAATAAATTCATTTTCTGGTTTAGTTTCGTCTGTGTTTTTCTCCCCACTCCAGGATGGGAGGATTTTCACTATTTTTCCACAATCTGGGATGTGAATAAGCTGGACACACCACCACAAAACTGATTTCAGACCTCAGGACAGCTGGAGATCACACTTGAAATGAGAGACTGTAAGAAGTGAGCAGATTTGATCATGTAATTTCCAAAAATCTGCTATCCAAGCCCTCGTAATTGGCAGAAAAAAAGAATTTAATAAGTGGAAAAATCTGTTGTCTCAAGGCTGTGGTATCGAGGATTTTGAGAATGGTAACATCAGTAATTGAAATGGAGTTTGAATTTAGAGATAAAAGCAAATATTCTCAAAAAAGTGCCCAAGACAGAAGCTCCACTGCCAAAACACAACGTGGGAAGTGCTCAGAGGTGGCAGCAGGAAACAAATCTGAGCTCCAGGGAGTGATTCCCACCCACAGGAGTCCCCAAAAACTCAGGTTTCAGACATTTTGATAACACAGGTACAGACAGACACAGTTTACGAGGCTGAAAATCAGCGAGAAGCCCCTGAGTGGTAAAACGTGCCTGCAGTGATAAATATTTTCCAGATTGGGCTGTGACAGGGATGAAGCACCTGTAGGTGCACGRAAATCACTTCACAGACGGAAGGATCTGAAGGTAACAACGCTGCAAATGAAGAAGTCTGGGCTGAGAAACAGGAGTTGACACGAGAACATGAAAATGTAACTCAGATAACTCAGCTCTAATAAATTACCGTCCTATCTGACTCAAAGCAGAACGGAAAAGCGTTCCTGCCACAGCGAATGACAAATGAACTTCTGACTGCTGAAATGCAGGATTAATGGAAACACACGAGAGACATGAAAGGACTTACGAGGATCCYGGGCTTGCTGTTGGCGGGGGACCTGGAAAAGTGACAGAAGAAAAACAGCGGGATGAGTTACGGCGAGGCAGCGAGCAGGAAGTTTTGTAAAGGTTTTAAAAGATAAAAGCGCCAGCTTTGTCGTGTTTACGTGGTTGGACAGAGGAGTGACAGCTCCTCAGTGCCACAGGCAAGGCTGGGCTGGCTGCAGAACACGACAGCAGGACAATAAACAGGTGAGGAACTCACCTTCCTCTTAAAAATAACTTGGGAGAATATTCAGGGATTAATTTCTGATCAAAAATCAGAAAATATGGGAGATTCATGAAAAAATAAAACAAAATTCATCCCATCCATCATTMACTGCGTGCTATTTGTCCCGTTCCAGAGAGGATCGACCAGGACTGTGTGCAAATATCTTCACCTCCGTGAATTATTTCCCCCTGCCCGTGGAGGAGGAGGAGGAGGAGACACACAAAACCTGTTTCTTGTTTGAAATCTTGTGAGTGGTRAGATCAGCTTTGAAGGCAGTTATCTCAACACAAATGAGCAGTGAGTGCTCATTTCCCTGGCAGGTATGGATGTGTCTCACCCCTCAGCCTGCAGTGCCAGCTGAAATCTCTCACTCACCGCACACAGAGGTCACCCAGGCTCTCCAGGATGAAATATTTTTTTTCTTCTGCTCTGAATCTGCCCAGGCATCCCATTAATGGGGACTCAGCCTGGAGCAAAGGGGGCTCAGGGGGCTCTGCTGGCTCTGACAGGAGGGGCAGCCACAGGGGTTGGGCTCTGGCCCATTCCATCACGTGTTGGGAAAATTCCTCCTCCAAAAGTGTTGGAACACTCTGCTCAAGGCAATGGTGGAGTCACCATTCCAAATGTTCCAAAATGTCTGGATGTGACACTTGGGACGTGGTTTAAGGGTGAATATGGAGATGGTGCTGGTTGATGGTAGCACTCGGTGACCTTAAAGGTCCATCCAACCTGAACATTCCATGATTTCAAAAAATGCAGCTCCCATGGATCCAATTATTTGGGAAATCTGCGGATGGGGTTAAAAGGGCAGAAATCCTAACCCATGCAGGACAGACATCAGGTCTGACAGCTCTTTTAGTGATGGCAGATTGGCTCCTCAGCTTCACTGGATCATTTCTCCAAACTCCATCCCAAGGAATGGCTCTGCCCTGCCCTCCTGACACCTTCCCCGGGCAATATGTAGAGATTCCACGCCTCTCTGCACAATCTGCATTTAATAATTTAAACCAACCTGGCTTTTCCAACCTGAACAATTCCGCAACGTGCTGATTCCCGCAGGATAAACGCCGCTTTTCCCAGCGCAACAACTAAGAGTTTGGCATGCTGAAGAGGAGGAAACTCACCGAATTTGACAAAGAGCACCCCGGTGGTGGACACTGTCCTCCTGCCGTTGGTGGCCACGCACTGGAAGTAGCCGGTGTCGGTGGTGTCCAGGTTGCGGATGCGCAGGCGGGAGCCGTAGGGGGTGGCTCGGAAGGAGATCCTGCGCGGCTCCTGCACCACGGGAGCGTCGTTCTTGAGCCAGCGCACCGTGGGAGGAGGGTTCCCCGACACTTTGCAGTGCAGCTCMGCCGTCTGGCCCAGCGTGGTGGTGATGTTGTTCATGGGCTCGTCCAGCGTCAGGAAATAATCTGGGATGGGAGAGGAAAGGAGGGGAGTGAAGAGCTCCGGAGTGGGGAATGTCATTGTGGAGGAAGCTCCTGCTTGTCTTGGAAAAGGACACAGAGGATATCAGGATTCCCACAGGTTCCCTCTCTTTCTCAACATTGTCCTGTTTGGCTTCATCCAACACAGGAAAAACACTGCCTCTCTTTTTTCTTTTCTTTTCTTTTTTCTTTTCTTTTTTCTTTTCTTTTTTCTTTTCTTTTTTCTTTTCTTTTTTCTTTTCTTTTTTATCCCTGACCAATAAACATGAAGCCAAATCTCAGAACTCCAGCTGTTCATTTTGTTGCTGATCTGCCTTTGTCCGTGCTAGAAACCACAAAATACAGGAATACATGAAATGAACCATTCAGAAGTGAAAATCTTGTTGCCCAGAGCAGCTGTGGCTGCCCCCGGATCCCTGGCAGTGCCCAAGGCCGGGCTGGACAGGGTTTGAAGCACCCTGGGATGATGGAAGTTGTCCCTGCCACAGCAGGGGTGGGATGGGATGAGTTTTAAGGTCCCTTCCAACCCAAATGGCTCCAGGATTTTGTGATCCTGTCTGCTAAATTCATCCGAGATTACTCCTCAAATCCATAAATTTTTGCATTCAAATAATCAACCAGACCGAGCAGCTCACCTGAGAAGGGATTTAAAATGAGATTTCAACAGGGCAGGTTTGAAGCCATCGGGAGCTTTGTGAGAGGTTTCTCACATGAAAAGGAGTTCTGGAACTGAAAATGAGCTGCACCAAACCCCTGGGATTGTTACTGAGACATGGAAACGATGAGCATTCCTTCCCTGGCATGCTCAAAACTCATCCATCACTGCCATTGCCTGGTGTGGAGGGGCTGCAGAGAAGCCCAGCTCTGTTTTTATCATGTCTCTCACCTTCCAAAGCCCTCAAAGGATGAAATTGTTCCCTGGGAGGGTGGGGAGGCTCTGGAATGGTGTTCCCAGAGCAGCTGTGGCTGCCCCTGGATCCCTGGAGWGCCCAAAGCCAGGCTGGGTGGGGTGTGGAGCTCCCTGGGACAGTGGGAGGTGTCCCTGCCATGGCACGGGTGACACTGGGTGGGATTTAAGGTCCCTCCCCACCCAAACCATTTCACCACAATCCCTCTGACACCTCCCTGCCATCAACACTCTCCAGATGGAGCTGATTCCCTCTGGCCCAAAGACCAATTTCTCAGCAAAAGGACGGTTTTTATGTGCTGGGAATGGACCAGCCTGGTGGCACCGGCCCTCGGAAAGTCTGAGCTCCRTCCTGGCTCGGAGCAGTCTCGGGTGAATCAGCTCGGCTGTGATTTTTAGAAGAGCCAAAGGGAAGGAGACACCCAAAGCCAATCCGAGCTCACACGGGATTTGTGCAACCAAGGCCTTTTCAAAACAGCCCTAAACCTTTTGGCTCGGGRTGTGCAGCCATAAAGCGAGGATAATAATCCCTCTTACATCACGGGGAGGCTGCAATGTACATTAATGAGATAATGCTCATAAAGCACTTTGAAGGTGAAAAGTGCTACGCTGGGCTAAGCGTTATTATTRCATTTTAAGTGAAATCTCAGGGTTTCAAGCACACAACAAAAGCCTGTCCGTATTTTAGAGCAGGGCACACTTGGGAAACGTTTTAATTTCCAGAAGTACAGGAGAACAGCCTGAAAGAGTTCTAAATAAAATTTAGCCCACCTATAATTTAATAATAGTCAAACTGATTTTTTTTTAATTTGTAAAAACAATTTACTGCTGGGCCTAGACMCCGAATGCCAAGTTTCAGCCCACAGAGAGGTTTTTTTTTTTAATGGCTGAGTTATAAACCCTTAAAAAATGCTGACAGCCCCTTTACTAGAGCAGCACTAGCGGGTGCCCTATAATGAACTTTTAAATGACTTGAGATAATATCTGGAAAGCCAAGCCTGAAATGTATTTCTGGGTTTGAGCCRTTGCCAAGGCAAACACAACACATCATAAGTCATCCTCCTGATTCCGAGCGCATAAATTGGAGAACACTGCACATAAAACCCCAAATCTTGGGTATCCTTCGTGGCCAAACTCYGGGCTGGTTTGATGTTACAGAGCAGCAACAGCTGTGAGAGGACGAAATGTGGAGCGTTGCRTGTCTCGGGAGAAGAAAAGGCTCTGTATTTCCACAGCTCTGCCTTGACATTGTTAAATAGGAGCCTGCCCGGTCCTAATAAATCCTCCACTGTTCCACCACTTTTAAGTGGARCCCAGGTGGCTTTCAAAATAAAAGCTGGTCCTGGCTGGCTGAAGAATGTTGATCTACTCGGTGACCAATGGATGTTAAATTGCCAACCACCATCTCCTTGCAGGAGATGGCCACAGTGAGACCTTTTCCCCCAGCACGGTGTGTGCTGCACGGTTCTGATTTCACCACGTGTTTAAAGCACGATGGAGATGCAGGATTAGACCCTGAAAAGGTCATTTTATAAGAAAAATTGTTGTTTTGTTTATCCTTCTCTTTGTGCGCTTCTGATCTTTAGGAGGATTCGAAGAAAAGCTAAAATCGAATTGGGAAGATTTAAAGAAAAGCTGAAATCGAATTGGGAGCATTCAAAGAAAAGTTGAAATCGAATTGGGAAGATTCAAAGAAAAGCTAAAATCGAATTGGGAGGATTCAAAGAAAAGCTAAAATCGAATTGGGAAGATTTAAAGAAAAGCTGAAATCGAATTGGGAGCATTCAAAGAAAAGTTGAAATCGAATTGGGAAGATTCAAAGAAAAGCTAAAATCGAATTGGGAGGATTCAAAGAAAAGCTAAAATCGAATTGGGAAGATTGAAAGAAAAGCTAAAATCGAATTGTGAGCATTCAAAGAGAAGCTAAAATGAGTCTCTGCTCCAGCCCAAGCCAGTTTTGATCCAGGTGCACACTGGGCTGAGTTCCTTCCCTGCAGATGGGGAACACCACAGCTCTCTGCAAGGAACAGCAGCATTCCCAACTGTTTATTGCACTGATGGAATCCTGGAATTTTTGGGCTGGGAAGGACCTCAGGGATCAGCTCATTCTTGGGCAGGGACMYTYCCACTMAACCAGGCTGCTCCAAACCCTGTCCAGCCTGGCCTTGAATTATCTTTGGGAACAGAAAGGTTTGGCAGCTCCCTTTCTTTGTCACTGCACTCACTGGATTAAAACCCACAAATGTCCCRGGAAAGCTGAATTTTCCTTCCTTCAGAGCCTTGGGTTATCCTCAAATCCAGTCTGGTGCCACACCTGGATGTGCTCAGCACTCACAGCCACCACTGGGCTCACACTGCTGCGAGTTTCCCACGTGGAATATTTGTTTTTGGAGAAGGTGAGCACACTGAGGATGCTGGAGGAGCTGCTGGCTGCTCATGGAAAAGCAGGAGCCAGCAGGATTCCTGATGGAAGTGTGGCCATACACAGGGCATGTGTTTGTCTGCTGGAAAAGGGATTTACCATGGATTGATCCCTGGATCTGTCCAAAACTCACACAGGAGGACAATTCCCTGTGGGGCTGATCACCAGCCTAAAAGAGGGAAAATAAAAACTCCCAGCTGGAATTTCACTGRTTTTAAATGAAGAAAAGTAGGGAATGACAACGGGAGGAAAGAGGTGCCACACTCAATCTGGCAACTTGTGGAGAATATCAGAGTTAAAGAAGCCCAGAAAATCATGGAAATGTCCAATGTCAGCACTCTTGGGACAAAAGGAAGCCCCCTGCTGCCTTTTCTTGCCCAGTTTAATTCCCAGAGGTTTTCCTCACTCTGTGGATGTGCTGGAGTCAGTTTGGGATGCAAATGGAAGCTCCAGGCTGGGTTTTCCCTTCCCATCCTCCACCCGAGGCTCCAGTGAACCCAGGAGAGCTCAGAGCTCAGCCAGACAGGGCACAGCTCGAGGCCTGATGGCTTTTCACATCTCCACATCACTCACCGTGCTTGGCATTCTCAAAATTAATTGTTATATTCTGATTTATTCATTTTTATATTCCGTAATTGGCGGCTTAGAGACGGCGCTGGGCTYGCGGAGAGAAACCACAATTTTTTGGACTTACAAAAAAATTATCCAGAACCTGGATCCGGCTGATTTTGGATGAAAAGTGGRCAACTCCCTGYCCTCCAGGARCAGTTGAGATGCATTTGAGGGTCAYTTCTGCCCCTCCTTTCATGAGGTTTAAGGACAAACATCTCAGAGGCCGCTTTGAGGGGAAATGAAGCTTTTCTTGACTCGGTTTTATAGTCCAAATAGGAAACCTCTAAATTTTATCACCAAAAAAAAAAAGTGATTTGGAATTGGTAAACAAATGTCCACATCCACCTATAAAGCCACCTACTGAAAACCATCAAGGGATTTTGTTGTCACTTTAGAAGYTGCTCTGCAGTAAAGAGCCACAAAGAAATACTCAGGCATTAAAGGGAGGGTGCATGGAAAGGTATGTGCCTCAAGATTAATGCCGTGGAGTCAAAGAAAAGCTGTTATTTCTGACATTTTGACATAGCATCACTTTAGGATCTGGTTCTTATTAGCCTTTTCTGTGCCTTTTAAAAGTCTCTCTTTTTTTTTTTTTTTTCCGACCAAAAAATGTCAGGAAATTTGGAACAGAAACGTACAATAAAACACGTCCCTTGACCCTCCGATCCATCAATCTTTCAAATAAACAAAGATAGCTGGATGAGCCAGGAAAAGTTTATTATATATCGTTACCTTATGTATAATGGTCAATATTCACTGCACRCACTCAGATTGTATAAAAAATCCAATGTGAGCAAAGCTTTTCCATGAAAAATTTTTGCTGTGAAAGCCTGAAGTTACTCGGGGTGGTTTCGTTTTCAGGCCGCGTCGTGTGACCTTCGAATTTCACACCCTGTATTATTTATAAATGAGACATTCAAGAAACACAAATTCTCAAATAAAAACACTCGCTCCGTCGGTGGAAAAGCAAACAAAAGCAGCTAATGTACTGTGGCTAAAAAAATGTTCAAACAAAGTCGCTGTAATTTACTGCCCTGCTACTAACGGGACCCCACAAATGGAATCAGAGCCCTGAGCCCCATCAGGGGAGCTTGATTTACCCCGTACCCCCCAGATAATACAGGAAAATAAAAAGGTAAATTGTGCATGAATGTGAAAGCTGTAATTCTTCCCCTTTCAGCGCACGTATCGAGTTCACATGCAGGGATTTCAAAGGACAATCTGGGATCTCCRAAGGATTGGGGGCTCGACGTGCCAGGTTTGGTTGTGTTTATGTTGTTTAGGATGCAGTTTGTCAAAAAGTCAAATTCTCCCTGGGAGATCACGGAGATTTTCCCTCTGGGAGCTCCCAGAAGGACAAGAAGATGGAAGATGGAAGGTGGCAGATTTGGCTGGGATTTGTCAGCGAGGGTGGCACAGCTTCCCTGGGGAATCGTCCAGAGGGTTCATGAACAGCCTGGCTGTGCCCCAGGATGTCCTGCAGACCTTCCATGGTCTCCTTCATTGCAGATCCTGTCCAGCCCTTCCAGGGAATGTCCTGCAGACCTTCCATGGTCTCTTCCTTCATTGCAGATTCTGTCCAGCCCTTCCAGGGAATGTCCTGCAGACCTTCCATGGTCTCCTGTTCTACAGATCCTGTCCAGCCCTTCCAGGGAATGTCCTGCAGACCTTCCATGATCTCCTCCTTCACTGCAGATCCTGTCCAGCCCTTTCAGGGAATGTCCTGCAGATCTTCCATGGCCTCCTCCTGCTCTGTAACCACTGTCCAGCCCTTTCAGGGAATGTCCTGCAGATCTTCCATGATCTCCTCCTGATCTACAGCTCCTGTCCAGCCCTTCCAGAGAACGTCCTGCAGATCTTCCATGATCTCCTCCTGATCTACAGATCCTGTCCAGCCCTTCCAGGGAATGTCCTGCAGACCTTCCTGTGTCTCCTCCTGCTCTGTAGCTGCTGTCCAGCCCTTCCAGGGAATGTTCTTCCCACTCCAGGATCTCTGGGAAGTTCACAGCACACAAATTCTGTCCCTCTCCCATCCCTTGTTCTGACCCTCACAGCCATTTTCCACTGTCCAGGGGATCCTATCCCAGGGAGGGATGGCAGAGGTGGTCCTGGATGAGCTTTGGAATGTTGAGGATAAATCCCAGCTGAACTCTAAACTGGAAAATCCTGGCTCTGGCCACCAAGCTCTCCAGGGAATGTTTGCTCTGTGGGATTGGGAAGTGATTCCACACAAAATCTGTGCCCCACAGAGGTTGTGGGGAGCTCAGAGCCTGTGTTTGGGCTCAGGGATGTCTGGAATTGGAAATGTTTCCCAAATTCTGATCCATTCCAAGGTTTTATCYTTGTTTGCCAGAGCTGATAGGCCACGAAAGGAAAAGGAAAATGAGCAAAACTCACAGTGGTGATTTCTTGGGAAGCTGGAGGGGAGGAGGAGGAACCAGCGGCAGGAAAGGGCTGCTCCCAGCCCCAGCACCCTCAGCTCCAGCCCAGCCACAGCCAGGACACRTCCCCTGATCTCAGGAGGAGGCTAAAGGTGGGAATGGGGCACTGAGAGGGCTCATTCCAGGAAAGCTGCAGCGATGGCACTGTTCCCTTATCAACRCTGCAGAATGAATGGCCACTGAGGCTGAATCCTGCTCAAGTTAAAGGAAAAAAATACTCCAAAGCCAACTTTTCCTGGCAAAAACTCCAGTATCATCTTTCCCGAAGGATGAGGAGCTCCCAAACAATTCCTGCAGCTCAGCAGATGCAAATGGGCTCTCACTCCAACCCAGGCCTATTTCTTTGTAAATAAAATGATGTGGAATGGAAGGAAAAACCTCTCCATCTATGGTCCCTTTAGTGGGAGAGGAGGAGCGGAATGAAGGCTCTTCACCACTGGAAAGAGTTTGGAAAAGAAGATGGGAAATTGGGGGTTTTCCAAATACAGAGCTGGAGCTGGAGCTTGTGGGGTGAGAGGAGAGAAGGGAAGGAGAAATGTGAGAAATCCCTGAGCTAAAAGAGGTAACACACGGGGATGGGGCTGTTCCCAGCCCCACAGAGCAATGAACCCGAGTCCCCAGGGCAGATCCCCCATCTGGGGCTGCTCCAAAGAAATTCCCAATGAAACTTCAGCAGGAAACTTGGGAATGAGAATCTTCACATCCTCCCCCAGCCCCAAGGAATTCCCAAAGAAACTTCAGCAGGAAACTTGGGACTGAGAATCTTCACATCCTCCCCCAGCCCCAAGGAATTCCCAAAGAAACCTCAGCTGGAAATTTGGGAATGAGAATCTTCACATCCTCCCACCAGCCCCAAGGAATTCCCAAAGGAACCTCAGCTGGAAATTTGGGACTGAGAATCTTCACATCCTCCCACCAACCCCCTGCAATAAATGGGGCTTTTCCTACCACCAGAGCCCCCTTTTCGCCCCAGTTTCACTTATTTCTTCTAATAGAATTAAATATTTATTGGATCATATTTTCATTTYTCTTTCTCCCTCATGGCATTCTCTCTGCACGCCACGGTTTACCAGTAAGGAAAGAGAGTGAAATGCTCAGAGCTAAATTTCCCCCATTTTAAAAGTGATTATTTTTTATTTTTTAGGCACGGTTTGTTTGTTTTTCTAAGGTTTTGGTGAGAAACCACCTCCTCCCTCCCATCAATCGTTGCTTTCAACAGCTCTTCACGGGTGGCTGCGTCTCTTTTAAATTCATTTCCTGTTAAAAAGAATAAACAGGCAACTGTTTAATGCTGTCGATTTAGCTTATTTAATCGAAATTGAAACCTGAATGGGGCTCAGTCGTGAGATAATCGCTGCAGAGCTCACCCAGCCAGGGAAAACAGCAGATTAAATCGTTATTTCAAAATGCACAATATTCTTATGGAGGAGGACAGGTTGGAGGAGGAGATGCTCGTTCCCAAAAGGCAGCAGGTAGGGTTGGAGCTGGGATTTAATGGGGAAATCTGGCTGGAAACTGCTTTYGTGTGGTGAATTTAATGGGCTCTAAAATGAGTTTTTAATTGATGAAATGGGACCTTCCTGACCCCCTTTGTTTGCTGATTTTGGCCAAGTCGAGAAAATCTGAGATTTTTAAAGCTGATTTCAGGTGATTTTGGGGTTTTTTTTCTGCCTGCTTACCTTTATCTAATTCACTCGAGATGTTCCATGAYGAGGTGGGCATGAAATCGGCAACAACTGAGGAATTTGCTCCTGGAATGGAAAAAGAGAAAAACAGAGTGATCTGTTAACCTATGGATTCTACATCATCAGGAATGGAGCTGCTGTCACAGGAATGAAAGGGTTTAATGAGACATTTGGGCAGCAGGAGCTCACCTGGAAATATTTCAGCACAAAGAGCCCACAAAACAGTCGTGTTCTGCCAACAGGTAATAACACACATCGACCAAAACAAAACAAAAATTAACAACAGCACTGTGACCACATGGAATATTTGTAATTTCGAATTCCAGAACGAACAACGCTATGACCACATGGAATATTTGTAATTTTGAATTCCAGAAGGAATAGCACTATGATGACATGAAATATTTGTAATTTCAAACTTCAGAACTAACAACGCGATGACCACATGAAATATTTATAATTTCAAACTCCAGAATGAACAACACTATAACCACATGGAATATTCATAATTTCAAACTCCAGAACGAACAGCACTATGATCACATGAAATATTTATAATTTCAAATTCCAGAAGGAACAACACTATGACTACACAAAATATTTGTTATTTAGAACTCCAGAATTAACAGCATTATGACCACATGGAATATTTATAATTTCAAATTCCAGAACTAACAATGCTATGACCACATGGAATATTTGTGATTTAGATCTCCAAAATGAACAGCACTATGACCACATGGAATATTTGTAATTTCAAACTCCAGAACGAACAGCACCATGACCATGTGGAATATTTGTAATTTAGAACTCCAAAATGAACAGCACTATGACCACATGGAATATTTACCATTTAAAACTCTGGAGGGTTCTTATTGATGTTTTCCTAACCAGGCTTTGAAAACATGACCATGGCTCTCCCAGAGCACCCTCCCATCATCCCATGGACAGAGGAAACCACATTAGAAAGCCAAACTTTCCTATTTGTCATGGAATATTTATAATTTCAAATTATAGGTAGTTCTGCAGGCTGATGGCTGAGGGATTTCTTATATTCCTCAATTAAAGCTCTGAAAAAAGCATCACTGTGCCCTTAAAAAACAATTTATTTGATTGAAAGGAGCTCACAGAGCAGCTAAAAAACCACGTCAGAACAAATCAGGCTGATGCAGAAAATAAAATATCCCAGAAAGAGGTGCAGGAGCCACCCCTGAACTCCATTTCTGTGATGATTCAGGATTGCTGTGCATGAAAGTGAGAGCAGTGACACCTCCCTTGGAAAGGCTCCGGAGATTCCAGGGAGGCTCCAAGGGAAGGGATGAGTCAGGGATTTGCAGGCGCTGGATCAGACTTGCCCGTTCACTGTCAACGCTTGAAAATCGGGGGAAAATCTGCTCAGTGTCAGAAYTGCAGGATCRCTGAGGTTGGAAAAGCCCTCCAAGGTCATCGAGTCCAGGCTGTTCCTGATCCCAYCCTGTMCCCAGCCCAGAGCTCTGAGTGTCACATCCTCRTTCCYTGGACAYTTCCAGGGATGGGGACTCCAACCCCTTCCAAGGCCTGACCACTTTTCCATGGAAAAATTCCTCCTGATGTCCAACCYGACCCTTCCCTGGYRCAGCTTGAGGCCRTTTCCTCTYGTCCTGTCMACATTTCAACTAAATTTTAAATACGGATTTTAAAACTTAATTCTTAAAAATTCCTTCATGCCCAGCTCTAACTCAACCAATGAGATTTGTTTGGAAGAAGAGTCAGCCTGAGAAATGTGAGCCATTATCCCGTTAGGGCTGAATGTGTTTATTTGTGGAATCATTCCAGGTGAATGATGACTCTTCTTAAKGCTGGCAAGGTAATTAGCTGTTCCACCCTATTAAGAAACGTTGGGTTTGAGTTAATGAGCAGCCCCAACAGCCGAGTAGAGTGGATTCAAACACACTCCCCATGGAGATGTTGGCCAAGATCTGATTTTATCRCACAGGTATTGCACAAGTGTGGAGTGAATTTCACACGTCAGGCCTTGTAAAGCCTTTGTGATTAAATAAACCTCAGTGAGGTTTACAAAAAGCTGTACCAGGAGTTGGGGAGATGAAACAGAGACTGGGAGTTTAAAAAGGAAAAAAAGATAACCAAGATGACATCAAGCCCAGAAATAATTGAAGATTTGWATGGGGGATAAATCTGTTGTACAGAAAGAAGGAAAGGGCAGAATAAGTGAGGGAATGAGGATGTTTGCCAGATTCCAGAGCACGAGGGGTGTATGGATGCTGAGTGGAGGAATGGACACGTCCAGTGGGAAGTGGGGCCTGGGATGGACCTTAATTTTGGGCACAGAGCTGAAAATTCCACTCTTTTTAAGGTGGGAGATAAATCCAGTTAAAACATTCAAACAAAAAATTCCAAATGTCTTCTTAACAGGCATCCTTTGCATCACATCATTAGCTCACCCTACACCCCAATTCCATACTTCATTTATGCAATTATTGATATAATCAGGAGTTAAATTATTTTTTCTGATAGAAAAATGAACGTGATTGCAATGCAGACCTCACTGCATCAAAAAGAGCAAGGAGGTGTTTCAAGGAGGAGTTAGAAGTCAGAATAATAAGATAAACTATTAAGAATTCATGTTTAAAGTGCATTAAAAATGAAGTTTTCCATTTGCAAGCCTCTTTCTGAATGGGAGCAGAAAGCCTTCCCCAARCGAGAGTTTTGTTATCCCGTGAAGGAATTTGCCTAAGGAAGCGATAAAAGCCCAATTTCCCGAGACATTAAAAACAAGATTGGGCAAGACACGAGTGSAGACAGCGCCGGGGAGTTCTCCCACGCCGGCAGCAGGGTCAGGGCAGGACAGCATCCCGGGGGGTTTGGGCACAGCTCCTTTGGGCCAATTYGAACATTTTATAGCTGCAGATCCACCAGAAACATCAATCCCCCCTTAAAGAGGGGAATAAAATCTCCAGCAAGCTGATTCCTCAGCTATCCCACTCTGACAGAGCTTCAGGAAAACAGGAATGGCAGATAAAGTTATACAGGCTCAGAGAARAGCTAATTATCCTAAGTGCTCCGTATTTTTTTGCTTTTCTGCACATTCCAGACCAACACTTCATCTTTGCCTCCGTCTGGTTCCTACCTGACTGATCCCTTCCAGGATCTCCCCTCAGATCTGCCTCCTGGCTGTTTTTCCTCTCAGCCCTATCTCCCTCATCTTCCTTTTCTGCCTTTTGCATTCTCTGTTCCGCCGATCCTTTGTGGGTTCCCCACACGTTTCCATCTGATCTCCCCAGATATTTCATTTTGCAATCAGCTGCTTTCCATCCACAGCCCACCCAGAGCTGCTGAAAGAAATCTAGACAGACTGTAATGGATAAAACCCATTATTTACTAATTTTCTCATCTGTTTGAAAGCTGGCTCCATCCTGAAATTTCTATCATATATCTCAAATTCCGCATATACCTTTTAAGTGTGAAAGGATTTCTTTCTATATCTGTTTTAGAATGCTCCTCTTTCCAAAGGAGGTGGGAATTGTGAATATTTCATTCAGCTGAATAAGGTAAAAGTGCAGGAATATGGAGAATTGTTGAGCATTTCTGCTCTTTGGGCAAGGCAGGTTCTCTCAAGGAGAATTTACTGCCTTTAATAGGATGAAATACCAGAGGGCAAAATCTATGGATACTGATCCTCATCCCACGGGACAAACATCCCGTGGATTATTTAAAAAAATCATTCCATATTAAAAATATATTCCTAGCAGGATGATTTCATTTAGAGCAGGACTGGGAATTGTTAGGAACCCCATTCATATCCCATCAGAGAACCTCAGCACTGTCAGCAGCACCTCTGTGCCTGGGAGTTCTGAACCTTCCCCAGGGCTGGAGATGAAGGCAAGGATTTAGGATTTACCAAATCRCAGTCGGGAAAGACTCTGAAAATCATCGAGTACCCAATCCCAACCTTGTCACCATCCTCATTTAGGATGTGGAGAAGAAACAATCCCAGGGCCCTATTTCTGCTTTCAGGGCGGGGAGTTGAAAGTGTTTCATGCACCTGACACCTCTGCCTCGCCTTTTCCTGCAGATCTGGAAGATCTTCCCTATTTCTTTCCCGTGAGGATTCACCAGCTGTTGGCTCAGCWGGGGTTTCCAATATCACCCACCCCRAAATGCTACCGGGGAGATAAAAACTCATTCTCAAAAACGTCATTGTGAAGATTTGTTCTTGGATATCCACGTCATTAGAAAATGATGCGATTGCTGCATAGGAGTGTCTGCAAACTCTAAAAATACCTCTGGATGTTTTGGCAGCAGCCCGGTGGCTTCCACGAGTCAGTATTTTTAGCAACTTGGTCTTTGGTTAAGGTCATATCATTAAAATTTGTTTTCTTCGGCGGGATCGGAGCCACCTCTTGGAAGAAGAGGTTTTTAAGAGGCCCGTTTTATATGCTAATACCTTAATCCTAAATTTCTAATTACCGCCCTGCAATTCCCTTTGATTGCRGCTATTAATTACAGATTATCATTAATGTTAGATGGATTTAGAAGTCACTGAGGAATCCGGGTGCACTTTACATCGCTCCAAATTGGGTCGTTAACAGTTCCACTTAGGAAGAGCAAAACACAGCGCCCCGGAGCAAGGCACGGCTTTAATGACAGGGAATGAAGAAAAGAAACGGCCACTTGGCCGAGGGCCAGCATTTCAATGCTCACACTCGAGCCTTTGTGCTGCTGAGCCGCAGAAATTCGGCCACAAAGGCACTTCAGGGCACTTCAGCCGGACCTGGAGTACCGCATTCCTGAGATGGCACCGCTCAGGTGGRCTCGGGACGATTCTGCGCTGCACAAATTCACAGGATCTGCAAGTTTTTTCTAGGAATAATTATTTGCGCTCTGCTCAGTATGAAACACCAGGGATGCGGGAGGAAGGTATTGGAGGAACACAGTGTTTTCTTGCCCAAAAAGTCGGGTTTTTTTTACAAGAATCCAAAATCTGGTGGATCCTTGGTTGTTGTAACASTGGAAGAGGGCACAGCAGAGCTGCTTGCCAGGCAAACTTACAAAGGCTGGAAATTTGC